TTTCTTATTTTCTAGATTCTTCATTACAAGCCTGAAATTATGTTTTCGTGTGGCTCCAAATGGTTTGCTGTCTCAGACACCCGTTCTATATTGATTGTTAGGACTAAAGTCTGTCTAGTGTTTCCCAGAATGGGCATAAAATGGTCCCCAAAAAATTGCTCACAAAACAAGATATGTACATTTTTACTTAGGTTACTATGGCATCACAACAGTCTGTTATAAAAAATACCCTTCAGTTGAGCTTGAAAACTAATTCAACGCAAGGGATTCCGAAATGCCTATTGATGTTGCTTTCAACGTACAAAGTCTGATGCACAGTCATCATTTCTTTAAGTTTTCAGGCAAGCCGCAATCGCGCGTGAATAAAATGATGTCCCTTTTTCCCGCTTTTGCTACACCTCTCGCGCGTGACTCACCCCTCGTGTTTCCTCGCGCTTGTCTCTTATCTCATACCCAGATCCCTCTCTAGTGGGCGATCTAGCTTGCCTCCGCTCGTCTGAAAAATGAAAACAACACCTGTCAAGCAAAGCCATGTTAACACGCTATCGTTCGTACTTCTTCATTTCCACAGACGTACGATTACAAGCGTATATACGACAGCATGCTGAAACCAGCGTTTGCCTTTGACGGCCGAATGATTCTGGATCACTGTCACCTACATGAAATTGGTTTCCAAGTCGAGACGATTGGAAAAGTTGTATCATCTGGGTACATGCTACCACTGACTCCCCCACTAGCTCCCCCTAAGGAGGAGAAATGAACTGATCCCTCTGGGGAGAAGTTGAGGACTTAATGTGTATCTAACAGTAACAGTAAACGTAAACGTATTTGTTATTTTTAAATTATTATTTACCATTATTTAGAATGTCACTGGAATCAGTAGAATTTGCACCGTACTCCAAACTACATTCTTTATTTTTAAGAAATTGACCTTTGGGGGCAGCTGGCAAACTCAAACTCTCGAGAAAATTGTAACTGGACACCAAAGCACTACAATAAGTGGCTCATTGCCCAAGCGAAACAGAGTTTGAAGATGGGAATTTCGGAAGGGATGTTACACTGCGAGAATGTATTCGTATTTCTGCGCACCGAAGACAATCCAAACATTTTCCTGCTCTGCTGTATCTTGAAATATTCAAGTAGCTCTTAAAATTAAGATTTGAAAGCGGAATGCATTTTTACTCTTTATTCGTTGTAAAACAGAGAATTTTCTGTACAAGGATAAACTTAATAACTTAATTCAAAGTACGCAGATCACAAGACGATAAAAATATTTTGAGTGTACTTAGCTTAGAGTATATTTTTTAAAGATCATGTACTTCGAGCAATATTGGAAATAATATTTTTGGCGAATGAAAACAATGTTATTGTTCTCCTGCTTATGAAGAGATATCGTCGAGACTTGTGGTGTAGCAAGGCGTTGTACAATTCATAAAGGTATTAAAATGAAATTATTGCTCAAATTATCATTCTTTGGTTAAATATGTAAACGAGGTATTTAAGTTTGACCGAATTTTTCCAATTCAAGAGGACTGGTTTGTAGAATTACTGCAAAAGTTTGGAGAAAAGATAGCGAGCTGCTTTGTTCCGGGTCAGCCCAGGTCTTAATAAGGTTATTCTTTGAAGATGGCTTACCTGCCTTGAATAATGACTACTGTTTCGCGTTTGCGTGTAAACGCTTCCCAACATTCGACTTCAGAAGAGTGAAGTGATTAATTAAACCTCGGCTCAAAAGCAACTTGATCCCGTTGCCTAGGAAAACATTTACCTGTGAAATGTAAAAACAGCATGCACGATTAAATTAATAAATTATGTATTTGTAATCAGTTCAATTTCTTGGGCAAGACTTCCTCACCTGTCAATACAGCAGCGTTTGAACTTAAAGATGCCTTTCTCTTCAATCCTTCGCAGTGTTTCGCTCTTCTTGATACTTTCTTTGCTGAAAATCTCAGAAGGAGAAGGTAAGAAACTCAAAAGTCGTTTTGATTTTTCGAAAGTTTCATCGATTTTAAATTACCCCGAAGTTTAGATTTTCTTAATTTTCGAAATCAAACTGAACAAAGTAAGTTTGTTTTGTGAAATGTCTCCACTTGCAAACACAATTCTACTTTCAGCGCGAAAAATATCCATAAATTTATAATGCGATTTTGAAGTTAATTTTGCTACTTTTCGTTTGATATAAGTAACATTTCATAAATTTTTTTCATTTTCATCTACACCTATGTAAAGTCATTAATTTTTTATTACAAACAGATGTTTGTGAAACACTTTTATCCACTAGTGAAACACACTCTTCATTCAAGATTTGCCGAATTTCTAATATTTTCATATTGGATTTATGGAGAGGAAGATAGAACAGAAACCTCTATGAGTTTTCAACCCAACCGAGAAATGATAAACTCGTGAAGAATGAATACGTTATTTCAAATCGTTTAACAACTCTGAGAAATAGCATCGCAGTTATAAGCATAATTAAGAAAGTTTTGAAAATAGAGACCGAAAATTAATAACTTGTTTACAGATTGCCGCGTGTTAAGGCATAAATATCCAAAAAATGAAGTAGTCCTTCTTGGTCACCTGCTCAAAAACATCACTGTGAAAATAGACAGCATTTGCCTGACACAGTGCTTTAAAGAAGCAAATTGCATGTCCTTCAACCTTGGTCCTCTTGTGGACGGAAATCATGAGTGCGAGCTGAGCAATTCGGATCACGTGATGCACCCCAATGATCTCGAGCATCGCGCAGGATTTGTCTACCAGTCATTTGAGGTAAGCAGTACAGTTAAACTCCCCCTTTTTATTACAGGGAAAACGGACGGGGATTAGTCGTCGCTGACAGAATTGACAGCCGATGAGAGAGAGATCATTAGAATATTACAGAACCTCAGGGGGATCGGGTAAATTTCATTGTGACACAACCAGAATACGCCGAAAAATAGTTTTTCTAACTTCAAAATTACGCTTTTGAGAAAGGTTTTAAATGCAGACGCTTTGTCTCATAAACTAAGAAAAAATGGAAAAATCCCATACACGTCCTTGGGGTTCATTTCATTTCTGGTATTATTTCCAAAGCTCGCGGAAAATGACTGAATGTCGGAGGAAAATAAACTCTTCAAAGTTAAGAACTGAAGCCGCCACAACGCTGTCAGTCAACAATATTTCCGTTCCGATACAAACTGCGAAGAAATTTTTTCTTTTTTCCGGAACTGCAAAATAGACTTTTGTCGCTTTTGGACAACAACTTGATAACAACACTAGAATTACAAGAACAATTCCGTCTCTAGCTCTTGGAAAGAACCAAAGTGATAACGAATTAGCGATTTCTAACTGTTCAAAACCCTTCAGTGCGTCATTGTAGATCAATAATGGTTTTGTAATCGTTGATTAGTTGACGACAAGAAGTTGACATGGAATGTCGTCAATCTCACGCCTTCCGTTCTACTCTTAAATTAATCTTTGCTTTGTATCTCCTGACATAAAACATAACGTAAAATTGAAATTTCAGAAATTAGGAGATCTTTGTTTTCTTTTCCATAAATGAAATTTTCAGGAAATTGAAAAAATATGACTTTTGTTCCTTCCGTGATACCTTAGCTAAAGACTAACAGAATTTTATAGAGGAAACCTCTCGCGGTGGCCTGGGTACTAATAACATGATGACCGCTAACCGGAAATGGAGCCTAGCTATGCAATATTACGACATAGACTAATTTGAAAAGCAGTCTGATATACTGCTTTGGTCCTTGAGTACGTGCTCTTCACTTGCCAAACGACTTTTCAATCGAGCCTCTCTTGAGAAGACTACAACAAAACAAACACAAAAGAGATGCACCTATATTTTTTATATCGAAGGTGATTTTTTCCTCCATATGTCATTGCAGAACGCTTGCCAAAGCCGTCCCTGTCCTGATGATACAGTTTGTCAAAACGGGTTTACAGAACAAGGATATCGCTGTATGCGAGGTACTCTTGTCTCTATTTCGGGATAAGGGAAAGATTTTTTTTATCGTCTTGTCACAAACGTAGGACAAACACTGAGTTACCATGAGTAATGAACCTCAGACATTAGGATTCTACACTCCGATGCGCTACCACGTGCACTGAGCTACAGAAACTCTCTCTATGATGAGATGAGCCAGTATCAGGTACATATGCGATGTGTCATGCACACTACCAGGATTAACAATGTCGACTGCGTCATGCGTCTAGTTAGAGTACGATTCCCCATGGGAACTCAGTAATGTTTTTTTCCCTCGCTCGTGATGAGAAGACTAATCATCTTTCCATAATTCTTCGCAGTGCTCAAAATTTATCATCTTTCTTATTATTTATTGGAATTTCTTTATTTTTGTATCCTTTAGCTAAAGTTATGCAAGCAAGTTTTCTCTTCCTAGATTTCCGTGGAAGGCGCACATAAAAAAAGACATAACAATTTTTTCAAAAACATTTTGTGGTTTAGGCAACTTTTAACGGATGTAAGTCGACTTTTGAACCGGGTTATAGGGGAATTCTTTCCCAAAAAGCTTATAGCTGGCGTACAGAACTTAAAGGAAAATGTAAATGCTTTGATCAATATAGGTTTGCGTATACGAAGCAATAATACAAAGTATATGTGACCTTTTTCAGGCCTTCTTCCTTCTGTGACAATTACACCTCAGACGAAAGTCACTAAGGAGGGAAGGAACGTGACATTCATATGTAACGTCACTGGACAGTTTGGCGCTAAAGTCACGTGGGACAGGCTCCAAGGAAGTTTGTTAGATTCGCGAAGCGTAATTGACGCAGCGGCGCTTACCATTTTAAACGTCAGCAAAAACGACAGCGGTTCCTATGTGTGTACGGCCACAAGCATTATGGGAAGCAATTCATCAACTGCACGGCTTGAGGTGTATTCGGGTCTTAAGTTTATCAGCAGACTACCATCCTCTGTACTTTTGTACAACGGTCAGACGCGGAAGCTGTTTTGTTCCATCTCAAGTGACTTGGCAGTCAACGTTTCGTGGATGTTCAATGGAACATCATCGTTTCCTCAAGACGTGATTTTTGACTCCTTCGACAAACTGATTGTTTTATCGGCCAATTTCAGTCATGAAGGAAATTACAGTTGCAATGCCATTGATAAGGTGAGCTACCTACAAGGCAATGTCGTTGTTCGTGTCAAGTACCCTGAAACCTGCACCAAAGTGAGGGCAAACATCAGTGACGTCAGTGGTAACTACGTCATTGATCCTGACGGCGAACTTGGCGAGGATCCTTTTTCAGTTTATTGTAACATGACTGACAAAGGAGGTGTTGGAGTGGCAGTTGTCAGTCACGACAGCGAGAAAAAAACCCACGTGAAAGGATTTGAGTTACCAGGGCACTATACACGTAACGTACACTACATTGGTACCAGCCTCTCTCAATTAGCGGCTTTGACACAAGCTTCAGAGAAGTGTGAGCAATTCATTAAAGTCGAATGCCACGGAGCTACAATAAATTATGCATACTGGTTGTCACGAGAGCGTGAAAAAATGAAGTACTGGGGAGGAGTTCCTCACGGGAAAGGGTGCGCATGCGGACTGACAAACTCCTGTGACGCTCCAGAACGGCATTGTAACTGTGCAAAGAATGACTTTGTTTGGCGGAAGGACAGTGGTCTTCTTACTAACAGGAGTCACCTTCCAGTCATTCAGCTGAGCTTTGGTGATACGGGAGATAGCTATGAAGAAGTCTATTATACTCTGGGTAAACTGCTGTGCTATACTTCTGCCGGAATGACACCAAAGTGATATGATCGTGCACTGCAGGTCTAACACGCGAGAGCCTGTTAAACCATCCCAAAGAGGACTGGAATTGCACCTTTTGTACAAACGCGCTCGCCAGTCTTCACTAACAAATGAGTTGCTTTGGGAGAGGCCGGGATAGTATTTCTGCCGACAAAAAAAATTGAAAAAAATTAGTCATAGAGAGGACGAGAAAACAGTGGGAAGCTCCAAATTTACTGATTCGCGTTTCGCCCAAATCACCACAGGAATCGCCACACCAATCGCTCTGACGAAGGGCTAACGCTCGAAACGTCAGCTTTTTTACTCTTTCCGGTGGCCAATTAACGTTTTCAACTCGGTTGTTAACACTAAAATTACCTGCTCACCACAAGAAGCCCACACAAAGGGTGTGATTGATTGAAAATTTGAATTTGGAGGATATGGTTGGAAATATCGAAACATACTAGGAGAAATAACATTTATTTTGATGTTGAATATTCGTCAAAATTTATCTCGAGGCATGATAAGGAGCTTTCCGATATTTCCATTTATTTTTTTTTCAAGGTGCACGGTAACGAATCCTGCGATCTGATTGGTTCTTTACCCGGTCTGTATTTTCCTATCTCTGCCCACGGGCAACGGTAACGCTTTCGTGAGTCGCCGAGTACATGTCTACTTTCTTGCCATTTTTCATAAATATATCTCGTTTTCCGGCTGGGCAGTATTTTTGAGCAAAGACGTCGGTCACTACCTCAAGCCGATGAATAACTTATTAATCCTCTCTTTTCTCTCTCTCAAAATATTGGTTTCAGAATGAATTTGTTTAAGCAATAGTGTCATTACCTTGGTTGACAAGCGGCCTAAAAACCGTCTGCAATTAATTTTAATCGTTCACGGAAAGTACCTAGAAAGTTAAAACGTGAGGTATTTGCATTGGTTACAGTTGAAGTTATCGATGGAACTTTCATTTATTTAATATCTGAATTTTCTCAAACAATTTGTTCGTAGTGAAAGAGCGAGCGCAGTTTTAATTTTCAAGACCAAGGTCACAGTTTTTTACCATACGGACCGACCCTTAGCCGGTAAATAACATATTTATATTTTCTCTAAATTTCAATCGAAGTACAAGCCAATCTGACAATTGTGTGGGTACTCTGTGGTCAAACCGGTTCTTTACGAGCAAGAGTCTTAGGGAAAGGATCTGAGCCAGCGTGACTGCTGTTTTCGTTAAAACGCTTAAACACCCGCATGATTATAAAAAGGTTATCCTTCTCGGTGATTCAAGCCAAATAAAAGGCAACTCGAGGTTACTATGTGGCGCCAAGACAATTTTCAGTTTCGCTTCAAGTGCACATTGGTAACAATAAAGCCTAACGCTGTAATAAATTCTGCAGGCATCAGTCCGTTTCCAAGAAGATAAAAACTTTTATACTAGAAATCCAAGATAGGGCCAAGCCAGTCCGACAAGAGTGAAAATCTTCTCTCATTATGAAGTGAAAACGATGCCAAAGTCTTGTTGCCAAGGATTCAAATTTACATTTGGCTCTTGCGGCAGCGAGTGCAAGTACGTTTATCGAGATTTGAAGCAGGTGGGAAGTTTGGAGAGCACAGGAGATTCGTAAAGGGCATCTTCATCCGACTTACTTCACATCAATATCGAAAAAAATTGATCATTCTGAATTGATGTAAATATGTTTTATTTTACGTAAAGAATTTTACGGAACCTTTTCCAACAGACTTAACCTCGGATTAACCTTTAGGAAATATTATGGTAAATAATACTCGTAATTTCATAAGCTGTAGTTCCTCATTGATACGAGGAACTGGTTTCAAATTCAGCACAATAGCTTAGAACACATTTGACACACGAAAAACAAATGTAAATCACTCGGTAGAGTTAGAGTTTTTTCCCTTAGCAGTATAATTTTGCAACTGATAAATAGACAAAAAAAACTTTGCGGCATCGTAATGTAAAAACGGCTAGATTAAATTGCTTGAAATTCAGTCAATAGTGATGCCTTACCCCTAAAATTAAAATCCTGTTCGAGGACTTTTTCGAAACTGTCCCCAAAAACTGTTTGATTGGATTTCCCCATAACGCCAGCATAACAATGACGATTGCCATACCACGCCCACCACTGCAACTTTGGCAAGATAATTTTAAATGTTTGTATTCTCTTACCTTTGGTCAACACAGGTGTGGAAATCATTTGAGCAAAAAGGAAAAACTGTATTCAGCCTACCTAAATCTTTTTTTTTTCCGGACGAAGGTGTGTTGTGTGATTGGGTATATTCCGTGTCAAAACCAAAAGACAGTCGCCTAACTAAAAGATGCTCATTATAATATGAAAATGTGGTCTTTTGAACATGTTGAAGATCGCACTGTACTCCAAACGGGAAGAAAATTAATAACGTGAATTGATGAGTAGGCAATTTCCTGGTAGCACAATTCATGTGCTGTGAAGCGAAAGTTCAATTATATAAAGCCTTGATTATGAAAATGAAATTTCACTCTCTTCCAAATATAACTGCTTTACACAAGAAAGGTTTACGTTATCAAAGGGTGATCGATTCGTACCTGTCCTAACATTTAGTAACGACCAAACCTAGCTGAACACACGTTGATTATTGTGTACGACAAGTTAGTCAAGAGAGTAAGATTTCTGTTCCGTATACCAGTGATCTCCTTAAGACCTCTTAACATGACCAACTAAATTATTGCCTAGCAGAAGGTAAGTGTGACATTTCTAATAAAACAGTTTATTGTCTTTCCAAACATTTAGCTAATTAGTGTATCGTGCAAGTTCATTAGCGGTGATAAGAAATCGACCTTACTTCAAACATATTTAACAGGCAAAACATAGATTATTAGTTTCGGCATGGAGCGAGTCAACTGGCTGATTACGAATGATCTCAGCTGGGTACGAATCCACTGATTGTAAACGATTGTGCGTAAAACACGACTGGTAACCTGTCAAAGAGAAGGTTTATAGGACTCGGAGTGGAACTATCGTGGTCTATTTGTGTATTTAAGTAATTATGTCTAATTAGCTCATGTTTCGACAAACGAATTCCGTTTCAAGCCGTAAATACAACTTGTTTTTCAGTTGGTGCAAATTGGTCTTATTTTCTATTTTCGGAGATAGGCAATTACTACGTGAACCTTTTTCAATACTGCTGGCAAGAAAGGGTTTACTTTGCCCCTCCAACAATTCGATGTCTTACATGAATGAAACGGAAATAACATAATTTTCTGGTTTATAGAGAAAATTCAATGTCATACAACCAAATATTGAGTTGTTTGGACATCTGGTTAACAGCTTTAAGTTATTTGTGCTTAATAATTTGAGCGTCGATAATTGGATTACAAGACTTTAAAGAAGTGGGCCTTGATTATAAACATTATACATTGGCAAAGTTGAACTACTATTAAAAATTGATACACTTTCAACAGTTATGCTTACATAGTCAGAGCAGGTGATAAATTAAATTATTTACTGCTGCGACGGCGGAGAAAAAACTCAGACAAAGTGAGGATTTTATACTTTGTGTTCGAAACGGTATGAAAAACAAGTCTATGCAAGATTATGGAAACGTTTCAAGTTCTCTTTCTTATTGCAATCTTGGGTAAAAATTGCTCGGCGTTGAACGAAGGTGAGCATTTAGGTGTTATTTGGGCACAAAATTGAGAACAAGTGGCCATACTCGACACCTGTGAATAACCTGATAGTCTTTTATCACTTTGTAGAAACGATATGTTGTCCTAGAAACCCACCATTGGGTACGAGTGGAAAATATGTCACTTACTGCTATGACAAACATGCACGCAAACCCGATTGCAAGATTTTACATAATGGTTACTTCTGGGATGATTTAAATGAATCAGGACTGTATAATTGCCTCGATGCGTGTTTCTGTTTAAATTTTAGGTGACGTAAGTTCACTGAAAGATCTTCAGTTTCACATGAAGGATTTTATCTCAACTGGCCATGTGTTGTTTAAAGCGCATGCTCCTAGCGCCTGAATTCATTGTTGCCGTAAAAAATAACTCTCCTTCCCGCGAAATAATTCTCTTGAATTTGGGAAAATCCTCTTTTTTATGTAAGCCTGTTAGATCCGTAGGATTTCCGTCTGAGTCCGAGCGAAAAGAGATTTATGAAGGTCCAGAGCTGTGAAGTCAATCTACATCTTTCAAACTTCATCTTTCGTTCTACTTTTCCTATAATTTATTAGCTTTGCTTGGCGCGGGAATGGTGCGGTGATTTTTTTTTTCATTCTTAGAGGAGTGTCGACAGGTGGAAATGGATCATTTGATCCACGACTTTTTCTTGGAGAATCACGTGATCAGGAGGCGGGAGATAATATCAGCTAGCGCCTGTGAAGTGAGTTGTTATATGGCGGCAGACTGTGTCTCTTACAACCTGAGACAGCCACAGGATCCAGATGGAGGGTATCTATGTGAACTGAACAATTCTACAAACGAAATTCATCCCTTTGATGTCAAATACGAAAAGGGAGCTGTCTATCAATCATTCCAGGTACGATGGTAACCTTAATTCTATCATTATAAGTTTCGTCAGAAGCCAGTATTGCGACTGTTTCAGTGATATCATATATTAATTCATACTGTCCCATGACGCGTAATGTCGTTTCATCCTATCCCGTTTCAGGTCAGTCATGTAATGGGATGTCATGACCTGTGATGTGATGTAATGACATGTGATGTTATGTCATGCTGTCATGCCATATATATACGTCACATCAAGCCACGTCATGTCAGCCCATGTCATATCATGTCATTTCCTTCCGAACCCATTTCAGGCAATATCATGCTACCCATTTCAAGTAATGTAGAGCTAAGTCATGTCAAGTGTTGGTATCACATGCCATGCCTCGTCGTACTATGTCAAGTCATTTCATGTCGGTTAAGCCATGTTTTGTCATTCCATTCCTTTTTTTTTTTGTCATACCATGCTTTTTCATGGGTGTCACAACATAGAATGTCATACCATGATGCATCAGCCACGTCCTGTTTTTTCATCCCTTTCCACGTCGGTTGATCATGTTATAATTATGCCACACCTTGTTAACTTAACCATACCACAGCAAGCAATTAGATGCCATAGCTAATAAGAATAAACCAAAAGGATCGGACGAGGCCACTATGGCGGACTCGCCATTTATACCAACATCAACTTTCTCTGCCTCACAGAACCCTTGCTCTAGTAATCCCTGTTCTGCGATCCAGCGATGCCAAACAGGATTCACCCGCAAAGGTTATCGCTGTGTTTGCATAAATGGACACTTTGGAAGAGACTGCACTGAAGGTATGTTGCACTGACTGTGTTTAAAAATTATTCGTCCAATACAGATATCGAAGTTCAATTCAATTACCATACGATTCCATTTTTGTCTTTTTCTCGAGCGAAAAGAGGAAGACTCTTGACCTAAAAGAACCTAAGGCCACGCTTGGCAACCGAATGACATCCATAAGTCGTTTCCGATTTTTTCTCCTCCCTTCTCTAGTTTTTCTTTTTTTTCAAAATAAACGTGTTTTTTCTTGTCTTTTGGAAACTGTAGCACCTCCATACGTGCAAGTGTTTCCCGATGTTATCGATACTGAAGAAGGAAAAAACACTTACGCGAGATGTAAAATTGTCAGTTTTCCTCCCCCACACTTGGTCACATGGAGCCGCTCTCAAGGAAGTCTTCCTTCCCATTTTCTATATAAAGAGTATTTATTCCTGAGATACGTCACTAAACAAGACAGTGGGTCGTATGTGTGTACTGCAACAAATACCTGGGGCACAGACTCATCCTCAGTTCAGCTGAGAGTCCACGCTCCCCTCAAGTTCACCATCAAACCTCCTCCGTTAGTGATAGTGAAGGCTTATGAGGTTCTTGTACTGCCGTGTTCTGCTTCAAGCTTTCTAACTCCAAGAATGTTTTGGACCTATAGCAAGACCTGGTTCTTGCCTAGTGGTGCAAGTGTTGATTCGTCAAATAATTTAACTCTTACATCTGCGAATTTCAATCATGTTGGTGTTTACACTTGCACTGCGTATAATGCAATCAGAGTCATTCGAGCAAGAGTCACCGTTTATGTCAAGTATCCCGACACCTGCGCCAGAGTGAAGACAGACATCAGTGAAGTAAGTGGCTATTATATCATTGATCCTGACGGTGTTCTTGGCGAGGATCCATTTCTTGTTTATTGTAACATGAGTGACCAAGGAGGCGTTGGAGTGACAGTTATCAGTCACGACAGTGAGGAAAGAATCCATGTCACAGGATACGACGCGCGTGGGAACTACAGCCGTGACATTCACTACCGCTACAGCAACCTCTCACAGATCAAAAGACTGATAAACGTGTCAGGAAACTGCCATCAATTTATCAAATATGAATGCTATGGTGCTAAATTAAGGCTGGGCTATATGAGTTGGTGGGTTTCACGTAATGGTCAGACCATGAGGTATTGGGGCGGAGCTTCTCAGGGATGCGCATGCGGAGTGACTAACTCCTGCGCCCGAACAGACAAGCCCTGTAATTGTGATAAAAATGATTTTGTTTGGCGGGAGGACAGTGGCTTTTTGACAATCAAATCTGACCTTCCTGTCATTCAGCTGAGATTCGGTGACACTGGTGGTGCTAATGAGGAAGGATATCACACCCTAGGAAAACTGGAATGCTACTGATAAACTTGAAGTTATTTCATTAAATGAAATTTTCTTTAACTGTGAAACCGGTTTTGATCTTTACATACGTGGGCGAAAGATTTGGATGAAGTTGACTCGCCGCAAGTTTGACACCTTAAGGAATGGAAAACAAGAAACATTTTTGTGAACTTTTGCAATAATTTAGCTTGTCCCTTAACCAGGAATGGTGGTTTAATTTCTGTCTTTGATTTTCTTGGAGCCATATCCACAAGGCATGTGTGAGAAGGCAATTACAACAAAATTTTCAAGTTTTGTTTGGAAGAGGTTGTCATGGAGAAAGAAATACCACTCGTCTATTTGCATACTTAACAAAAACATTTTTTTTCTTCGTTGTATTCCACGATTTAATTTTTAAATTTAACGAGCTATGAACCATATTCTAAACACGCACAAACTTCTCATTGGTCAAGAAACTTAAATTCTTGTTAGAGTAGACCTCAAGCCGCAGATTGCCAAGAAAAAAAGAAATGCCTCAAAATGACACTACCTAATTCTTTCAATTATTGGAGATATTTTTTTTTCTCGATCGGAGGACCCCTTGAATTATTAACTTAGTGTGCTTACTTAGATAGTTCTGGAAAAAGATTGTGTGTAGTTTGATGTCAGATCTTTTATAAACACTTGTCGGCGCTCAGCGTAATGTCAGACTCGAAATCAAGAGAAGAAGAAGATCGCGTCGACTCGAGACCCCCTCAACAACTAGATGAGCGTGTTTCTTTGTTGTCCAAGGATCAACTCCCCGAGCTATGCTTTTTTCACCGTTAATTTCTTCCGAAACGCATGAAACTCAATCCTTTCTTGAAAAAATTTCATGCAATTTGGTGTAAATAGACATTTTCCGAGTTGCACAATTCTTCCTCTGTGAAACTGAGACTGGTGCAAAGCCTTTAATATTAACATAAATTTTGCGTTTTTTTCCAAATATGACTCCATCACATGAGAAAGGTCATCGTGATGAAAGCGAGGGTTTTCAAACTCACAATGGACCTATTGTTTTCATACTGGTATATTGATATATTTGTTTATCTTTGTAGTAAATTAATTTTCTGTTTTCTTTTTTCCACTACTCTCATTTCAGGTCGCATAAACAACTTGTTTTCAAACTGTGTGTAATTTGTCTTTTTTTCAATTATTTTCCTTGGAAATCAAACATTACGCGAACAGTTAACCAAGCGGAGTTTATGTTTTGGTGTTAAAAAAGTGAAGGTTTACTTTTCGTCTTAAAAATGAGGACCTTTACATTACTAATACAAACAGAAACATTAGTTTCAATATCATAGTCAATATCATACGAACGAAATTTTGAGTCGGTAGGACACCTGCTCACCAACTGAGTACTAAGCTTCGCTTGATAAAACGTCAATAATTTAAGCTAAAAGCATTAAAGAAGCGGGTCTTATTGACAAACAACAATTTCAAAATATTGACCATGCTTTTGAAACTTGACACACTTCCAAAAGTTATACATATATATTGATAGCAGGTGGTAAGCTTAATTATTTACTGCTGTAACGGCCGACAAAGCACTCAAACACGAGTCACTAAAGAAACGATTGTTTTTTTTTTTTGCACTTTCTATGCAAGAGTGCGTCAAAAAAACTTTGCAAGATTATGGAAACGTTTCAAGTTCTGTTTCTACTCGCAACTTTGTGGAAAAGTTGCTTGGCGTCGAACAAAGGTGAGCGTGGGAGTTTTATGCCATGTGGAAATATTAATGCACCTAACTGTACATGTCGTTTATCATTAACTTATAACTTGGTGTTTGATCTTCATTTTCAAAGTTTTGAAACAGTGTGTCATTTTAGAAAATCACCATTAAATGCTAGTACGATATAGTGAAAAGACGTCACTTACAGCCTTGAGAACATGCACGCAAATCCGATTGAAGAATTTTACAAAGTGGTTAATCCTAGAATAATTTACACCTATTTGCCAAAATGTTGTCATAGAAAAAGGCAAACGAATGAAGGGAAAAAGCTAAATAGAAGTTTATCAGCATATAAAACTGATCTCTGGATACATTCTGAGCAGATGGAAATTTTTCACAGTGTTTCCACTGACAAACTTTTTGAGACTTCAGATGCTTGTTAGAAATTTCAAGCAATTTTAAAAATACAATATTAAACAAATAATTTTGTGTGGACGCTGTATGCTTATGCTAATTGTTAACTAATTCAAGTTTGGCTTTTTTCGTTGTTGTTGCTTTTTTCATGTCAACCTTACATCATAGCCATTTAATTTCTTCGCATCGTATTTCTGCGTTCATTTTAGGCCGGACACGAGTTTACTTAAACATAATCCGTTTTAAGAATTCTTTCTCAACCAACAATCAGTCATTAAAACTGCACTGAAACCCTAAAATTGTTGTTGTCGTAGATATAAAGCTCGTCCTCCCGCGAAATGAGTTTTTGGAATTTGTTGAAATATTAATTTCCCATGTCTTTGAGAAATACTCGAAGGTTTCGTTAAATCAGAGCAAAGAGAGATCTTTGGCGGACCAGAGCTTAGGTGTAAATTTGAACACCATGGCATCTTTCTTTTTTTGTTCTACTTTACGTGACTCACTAGTTAGGCTCGGCGCACGGAACTCTTTTATTTCATTCCCAGAGGATTGTCGACTGGTGAAAATGAATCCTTCGGTCCACAACTTCTTCTTAGAGAGTCACGTGTTCAGAAGGCTAGAAATAGAATTGCCCAGCGCCTGTGAAGTGAACTGTTTTATGGATGCTGACTGCGTCTCGTACAACTTGAGACAGCCACAGGATCTCGACGGAAGGTATTTGTGTGAACTGAGCGATTCTACAGACAAAATTCATCCCTTGGATGTCAAATTCGAAGAGGGAGCTGTTTATAAATCATTCCGGGTACGATGGTATTTTTTACTCTGTCATTATAAATAGTTCATTCGCCAGCATTACGTGTTCTACAAATATATTGCATAGTAAAGTACACGCTACCTTGAAATGTTCCGTCGAGTCATCTTAAAACCAAGTCCTACCATTCCATTTCAGGTCATTCATGTCACGTCGTGACATTTGGTGACGTGTTGTGTGACAAGGTGTCATATCACGTCATATTACGTCATGTCACTTTTGAGTTATTTAGAAAGAAAATAATAATAACTCTATGTTAGCGTGTAGAGTGGTATGTTGCTCGCACCAATCGGATCGCCGCATTTGGGTATTTATCTCGCACCAATAAGATTGCTGCATAAGGGTATGTATCTCGCACCAAACAGATTTCCGCATCAGGGTATGTATCTCGCACAAATCACATCACAGCATTTGGATATCTTGCACCCCCGCAGCGTTTAGGGTATGTATCTCGCACCCATCCTATCACAGCTTTCTTGCAAATGATGTCATAGAATCAGGGGCTGTGCACTTAGAATGACCTCACACGATGTCACTTCATGTAACGTCATGTCAGGTAACCCATTCCATGTTACGAGATGTCATGCTTTGAAGTGTCATACCTGTGTATGTTATGCGCTGTCTCAAAATACCACAGAATACCACTAAATGCCATGTTACTTAACATAAACAACAAATAAAGGACAATAACATATTTTTTGTTGAATTATACACTTATACAATTGAAATATTTCTCTGCCTCACAGAACCCTTGTTCTAGTAATCCCTGTCCTGCTATCCGTCGATGTCAAACAGGATTCACCAGCAAAGGTTATCGCTGTGTTTGCAGAAATGGACTCTTTGGACGAAACTGCACCGAAGGTATATTTCATCAATAGATTCGCCTGTGTCCATAAAAATCATTTATGTTACATATATTATATCCGAGACTTACCATTTGCTCCTGGTCTTCTCTTTGGGTGAAACGAGGAAGACTCTAGCTCTTGCTCCTGGACTTTTGTGAAGGGGCCTAAGAGCCAGCTTAAGGCAACCGAATGATGTCCGTAATATCGTTTCACTTGCTCTTCCTCCGTTTTCTCTCTTTTTTAGTAAACATGTCTCTTTTCTTTTGCAAATTATAGCACCTCCCTCTGTACAAGTGTTTCCTGATTTTATTGAGACTGAGGAAGGAAAAGACATCTCCATGAGATGTGCAATTTTCAGTATTCCCCCTCCGCGCCTAGTTGCATGGAGTAGGTCTCAAGGAGCTCTTCCTTCCCAAAGAAGTATCGTCCAAGGAGGAAATTTGACCTTGAAAAACGTCACTAAACAAGACAGTGGCTCATATGCGTGTACTGTAGCAAACATCTGGGGTACAAACACGTCCTCAGCTCATCTTAACGTTTATTCAGCTCTCAAGTTCATTATCAAACCCCCGTCGAATGTGACAGTGAGGGCGTATGAAGCTCTTCTTCTGCCATGTTCTGTTTCGAGCGATCTGACGCCAACGGTGTCTTGGATCTATGATGGAGCTATGTCATTACCTCCTGGTGCGAGTATTGATTCCTCCAATAACTTGATTGTTTCATTTGCTAACTTCACCCATGGTGGTACCTACACTTGCAATGCGACTACTGCGCGCAAATCCATTCAAACAAGTGTCACCGTCTATGTCAAGTACCCAGAAAACTGCGCCAGAGTGAAGGCAAACTTAATTGACGTCAGTGGTGACTACGTTATTGATCCTGACGGTGTTCTTGGCGAGGATCCATTCCCTGTTTATTGTAACATGACTCACAATGGAGGCGTTGGAGTGACAGTTATCAGTCACGACAGCGAGGACAGAATCCATGTCATAGGATATGACGCATATGGAAGCTACAGCCGTGACATTCAATACCGCGACAGCAGCCTTTCTCAGATCACAGCACTGATAGGAGTCTCAAGTAGCTGTCGACAGTTTATCCGATATGAGTGCAAGGGTGCTGTATTAGGACTGGGTCGAGTTAGCTGGTGGGTGTCACGTGACGGTCAGATCATGAGGTATTGGGGTGGAGCTACTCAGGGATGCGCATGCGGAGTGACTAACTCCTGCGCCCGAACAGACAAGCCCTGTAATTGTGATAAAAATGATTATGTTTGGCGGGAGGACAGTGGCTTTTTGACAATCAAATCTGACCTTCCTGTCACTCAGTTGAGGTTTGGTGACGCTGGCGAGGCAAATGAGGAGGGATATCACACCCTTGGAAAACTGGAATGCTATTGACGAGCTTGACAGATTTTTATTACAGTAATATATTACGATATAATCTAACCGACAGAAAAGCACCACAATCCTACAAACTCAACTACTTTATTGAACAGCGAGTAATGATCTTAACAAGGAGCGACTCTTAAAAGCAGTACAATACTTATCGTTAATAAACTTAGTTAAGCCCACCACAGTCTATATCTTAGCCCACCACTGACACAATCTCACTGCTGCTTCCAAAGTTCCTTGGAATGAGCAATCCTCCGCAGTGACTCTCTCTCTCTCGGAATAGCTTTCAAAAAAGACGTCACTCCGACAACAACAACTACTACTTCTATATGTAGCTACATAAGTGAATCTTCTTATATATTCACAAAGTAAAGGATATAAAGAAAGATGGTTTTCGTCTTGTCACGAGCGTGGGACAAAGAAAAAGTTCTGAGTCCCCATGAGGAATCAAACCTCAGACCTTCGGATTTCGCGTTCCGATGCTCTACCACTGAGCCACAGAGACTCCACGGTGAGCGAGGTTTATTTCGAAGTTCATATGACTCGCGTCCTGCATACTGCTAGGATTAGCAATGTCGATAGCGTAATTTTT